AGCAGGATTACCCGGTAGATTACCCTCGTGTCGGTATTGAAAAACGATACCGGTTAATACCTATCTAGGTATTCAGAAAATGGTCGATATTTTGCAAACACTAGTTATGATCAGTTGCCATTTTTGTGTTGTGAATGAAGAGAGGAACGGGATAAAAGGAACGACGAAACGTGCTCGAATCTGTTGCAAATAACGAGAATTATAGACGGAAAGAGCGTGAATGTGCCGGTGTTCGATGGTTGGCGATTGTGCCTCGGACGGATACAATCAATAACTGCTATAAGTGTTCAGAGTGTTTGTCTGCGGTAGGTGAACGAATATTCCGAGGAAACTACTATTCGAGAGTAGATTAATAAACTGAAACGGATTTGGATATTGTCATTATACTCTTCTTGATCACAAGCTTTATTAGTAATAACTAAACCGTAGCGCATCCTTGCTTGCGTTCGATCGATCGATTAAAATAATCCAGTTCGAGTATATTGAAAATCATTGAGCAATACCCTACCCTGAAATCTAAACAGCTCAACATGCTGAACGTGTTGTGTCCTCCTGATCCCTCTTCTGTATCTCCCTGTTCGAACTTTCACCACGTGTCTCTTCGATCAGCACGATTTCACCCCTCCATAAACCTGAAATACCGTCATCTTATGTCCCTGTCTAACTTCACCTGTCGTCTTCCAGTTATGAAATGAACCATTCAGTCGTGCTCCAGAAACGATGTTTTAATAATCGGAACTGTTCCATCCACCAGACAATAACAATAACTATGTATACCTAATTCATTTGGTGATAAGCAATAATTTTATTTATTTGTTTATGTGTTTATCATCCATCCATCCATACATCAGCAAATCAACTCAAGACTCATTTCTCTTCTTCGATTCACAATCATTCCATTACGGTAATCACAAAGATGCCCATTTATTCATATTAATAAATGTTTATTTCATTCAACGATTAATTAAAGCATTTTGTTTGTTACTATTATGACAGTGTTTCATTTTGCTTGTTAATTATTTGTAGTCTTGTTTCAAATATGATGTGTTCCGAGTTCATCTTCATCAGCATATTTGTCTTGATTTGTCTTCGATTTTGGTCTGCTGCATTCATTTAGAATAAGAAATACAGATAGATCAAGGGCATTAGAACTGCATCAGAAACGTGTTGTAAACTGATTTGAATATTTCTTGAATTAAGCAAATTTTGATTAAAGTAAATCTCTGTTCTCGACGTGGGTATTGTCTTATTCAATCATTCGGAAAAATCATTTCTCAAAGTTTCATCATTATCATTATCGGATGGTAGATAGTGTACGGCACAAGTTGATTCATCTAGTGTCAATTCATTCGTAATCTCCATATCTTTCTATGGCATTCCGTGAATGAAAATAATCATTATTGTGAACATTTGATAAAATTAATGAGAATTTTGACAACAATAAACAATTCTGATTATTCACTGATAATTTTAATAGTAATTTCTGGTGATTGTTACACATAATAAATTGGAAATATTGATCATTATCAGTACTATTACCACTGTTATTTATTATCATTATTTGTTCGGTGAAAATAATTTCGATTTGAAATTTAGAACGATTTCGGGAAGTGCTGTGATATATGGATGAGTCGGATGGTGTGCTGAGTGACTCTGAAGCGGACAATGAACAAACGCAACGGGAACGTTCAGAGGGTGTAGCGCAAGGTAGCAACTTTCTTTGTTGTAATTCATCAGGGTGTGGTGGTTATTGATGTTATCAGTGTTTATCATCATTGCTCATGCCAGGCTCAACTGAAATTTACAACTTCTTAATTGTGTGGCACTTATGAGTGAGGTTTGATAAAGCCCCGCTAATTAATAATAATTAAAGAAATAGCACGATTACAGATACGTTCATAACAGGAGCACAATACTAATGAGTTACCTGGATTACCTGGATTGATCAGGCTGTCAAACGTTTGTAACGTTGCTGGCCACAGTGCTCGCGTTTCCGTTCGCACTGTTTTAGCCTTGATTGACGCCACCCCGCTGGCTAGGCGAGCAGGCCAAGTGAGCACAACCGAGTATTAAATTAGTTGCCGTGAATACGTTGCATAATTAAACCTAGCCAAATACCAATCCAATAAATAATCATAACTCTACAAAATAAATACTAGTGAGTAAAGGAGGTAATATCAATGATAAGGGAATAGATCAGTGATGATAAAGAACTGAAATGTATCGAGGTGAAAAACAAACAAAACGCTAAAAATTCGATTCAATTAACCGATTATGAGTATACAACCAAACAGATGAAGAACATTAGTGAGAATGATTTTTAATGAATGAATCTGAGTGTGTAGTAATTATTACTCGCGCTTCGTTGTTCTATCTTTTATTTTATGCTCATTTGATCACTCATAGGGTATTATGTGCTGATTTTGATCTGTATATTGTTAATGTTATATTTTAGATCATTTGACTGACTCTGTTTTCACTGATAAACAGAGGATGTGTTATTGATTTCGTAGATCAACAATCGGATTGGTGAATACGGTAACAGTGCTAATTTCATTATTGATAATCGCATTATCCTATTTCATTATTATCCTACTGATAATCACATTCCCGATCATCCATTGTAATTATCAACGTATTATCACAACTGTATACCACCTATTCAACTGTTCAATGTTTACAGTTGAATAGGTGGTATACATGATAATACGTTGATAATTACAATGGATGATCGGGAATGTGATTATCAATAGGATAATAATGAAATAGGATAATGCGATTATCAATAATGAAATTAGCACAGTTAATAATGACGGTAACGCAGTACGAGTGATAGAAAAGTGAATGGGCTNGTGGTAACTGACGGAATGATTTGTTTCGCATAGTAAAAAGTGGATGGCAGATAGACTCGAGCAGTTGCAGAGTGGTACCCAAGGGAAATAAAAAGACCACTCGGGAGGCTTCCAATAAGATGGAAAGACGATATAACAAAGAAATTGGGTAACACCTGGCAAAGGAAAGCAAGGTCAAGGACCGAATGGAAACGCAAAGTGGCCAGCAATGTTACAAACGTTTGATAGCCTGACCAATCCAGAAAAGAAAAGTAAAAAGTGATGAATGAGTAATTGATTGCAGTGGAAGGACATGATTCGGACGAGTTGAGTGAGTGTTCGGAGGGTGTTGAATTGCATGGAGAGGATATATCTACTGATGACGATGTTAGCAACACTAATAATAATAACAGTCACAACACAACAACTGAAATGGATGCTGAATTAGACTACGATGAAGAACAGAACGAAGTGATCTCTCAACAACAACAACAACAATTGCAAAACAGCAATAATAATGAAACACAAGTAATCATTTATTGTTTTTTGTTTGTTTGTTATTGTCATATCATTTATTGGTGGTGATAACTCAATTGATAACAATATATATTGATATTTGGTGATAACGAATAATTGAATAATAGATACAAGCCGGATCATAGCCTGGCTGAGGCCCACAACATTAATGATATTGGTACACCACTCGGGTTCGATCAAAACTTTCCTCCTGTTTGCGGATGAAAGTTTTGCTCGAAACCAAGTGGTGTACCAATATCATTGATATTTGGTAACATTATTGATATGGTGATATTTGTTATGGTATTGTTTTGAGGGTGTAATCATTATTAAGAGAGAGACAAGAGGTGTTCGGACTGGAAACGAAGCAGGACTATCGTCAGAGGAAGGTCGGGTGGAATCGCGTGCTGATTCAGGGTTGGTCGAGAATCAGGCAGGGTTGAATTGGGTATCTGATGATGACGGTGATCAAGACGAGGAAATTGACAAAAGTGGAAAAGATTCCGAGAAAAAGCCTAAGCCATCAGAGAACGCAACGGAGGAGGGGAATAAAGAAAGAGATTATCGTGAGCCGAGTGAAGAGGGAGAAATTATTGATTTGGAAGAGGGTGAGTTGAAGTCGGACAGCGATGAGGATGATTTGGCTTTGGCTGGTGTGAGGAGAGCTGAGAAGAGCGATGTAATCGCACCCAAAGAGGTGATACTTCAGTTTTGTATTGTCACTTTATTCAGTTATTCAGATTTGAATTCTTTTATACTTATCGTTAGGAAGTGTGTTAAAAGATTGAATAAGTCTGTTCTGATTTAAAATATTTACAAATTTTGATTTGCGGTGTGAATTTATTTTTCTTTATTCTTTATTTTCTTTAATTTTCTTTGTTTTGAGTAGTAAATATTTGAGTGACTGGTCACAAATGATTACTTGAATAAGGTTTATTATGAGTAATTATGAATATACACGACACTGATGAGTATGATGTAATTGGCTGGATATGAATTTAAATGAACAGAACACAATATATTAGAGGCCAATCGTGGGTTAATAATAATTCCAATACAATGAGCAGATTAGTAATATAATATGAATTAGTAATTTGAAAACATGATTGCTGGCCAATTAACACACTGGATTGAATGATTATGGAATAAGCGAAGATTACGTTTCGACTTCACTGACTATCCGACTCGCCTCCTGTCGATTCGACTGCCGTCTTTTATGGCCTTTGTTTTATCGTCCATTCTCACGTTCCTAAAAGATCATATTTGTAGATAACTTAAGATATAGCCTCTCAGCTTTCATAGAAAGCCTTTGTTTTGGCCATTAGCATGCATTTATCTGAATATGCAACAAAGATGTTGCATTTCCCATATGTTCTTCTTTATGTTTTGATTTGAACCATTCATTGAAATGGTGTTTTGGGTATTCGAACTGTATAATATTTACAGAGTTATCATTCAAAGTAATCTTCGCCCTTACGATGAAATTATTTTA